AAAAAAAAAAGAAAGAGGACAGGTAGGTTTTACAGTTGAACTCTCAAAAGTTAGGAAACAAGAAAGCCAAGGTATTTCTGCTCCACTGTATGCGAGACAAGTTTTTGTTCATATTAATCTCCCTTCCCCCACCTCAAGTTTTAGGCACCTGCAGTTAGCAACTTGTAATGATTATTTATTTTTATATTTTTACCTTATTTTCACTTCTGATATTGTGTCTCAGACTTTTTGTATAAGTCCTGCTTCTAAAGTCCAAATTTTAGTAATTTTATCAGTGCCCATTTACCCTACTTTATTTCTTAAACCCAGCAGTACCACCTGCCTTAGGTTCACCTGAGAAAGTAAAGCTGTGACTGTCATGCTAGTTTAGTGCCTATGATCACTTGAACTGCTGGCAAAGCCAATGAAAGGATTTCTTTTGATTCTTGTGAAACTCAGAATGGTCCCAGAGCTGTAAAATCATGTGATGCATACAGATTTTTACTATTATTTTTAGTTATAGAGGCTAAATAGTGCACAAAGTTTTACCATTACTACTTGTTATGCAGCCTAGATCATAACCAGGTAAGTATGTTTTACTATGTGCTTTTCACCAGCCCACTCAAAGGTACTTCCCTTCAGTGAGAGCTACTTAAAGGTCAAATATAAATTTTCTACATCTGCAATGTGGCGGTTAACAGTGAAGCTTTTTTTCCTTTTTTAATGATAGGAAAGATTTTTGCTTTGAATAGAACCCTACCATTTAAAATAACTGGATTTACTGTTTTTGCTGAATATTAAAGATTACCTTTTGGGTAGGTGACAAACCTGGGATGTTTCAGCAAAAAAGGTGACAATTTTATGAATGACTGAAAATAAATGGTCAGAATAGAAACAATGATGCAAATGTAATCACAGCAGCTGTTGGCTTAAAATGGTATTTAAAGGCCTGTTTTATGTGAATAGGCTTATAGGTGTTGATATATGCATTATAAGGGGTCAAGATGGGAAGCAGGGGTTAACTGGTTAGGATGCAGGCTCCACTCTTTTAGATGTCAGCAGCTTGGAGGTGGGATGCTGTGAGGCCCACAGCTCCCCTCCAGTAAGGTGCATGAGATGGGCTGCTGGTATGTGCCCTTGGTCCATGGTGGCCTTGGGAACAGCAGTGACTTGGATTTCAATTGTTACTTATTACTGAGGTTCTAAATAAAAAGTAATGGTAAGATACTTATGTCTTTTGGTTTCTGTTAACTGTTTCTCTGGTGTTTGGGGAATGGGGTGTTCATATGTGTAATACGTTGTCAGTCTGAACATATATACTAGATGGAAACGGACCTTCAGGTTGAAAGTTTTGGCATCAAAATATTTTTAATTTTCTTTTCTTTTTAATAGTTTAGAACCTTATGAAATAGCTTAGCTTTGGAAATAATTACAGATATTTTTAAATTCTAATATTTGTGCGTGTGTTAATAGAATCAGGTTAATATTTCTGAAGTTGATCTCCTATTTGACAAGCATGATGTACGTAACTTCTAAAAGAAAGGTAACTGCAACCTTACAGGGACAGTTGAAGGACTAACGAGTTAAATTTTTATGTATATGTAAGCTACAAACTCTTGTTTCTTCCTCAGCCAGTCTCCTAGTTAGCTGAAAGAAGCAAAAATGGCCATGACTACATTCAGCTGTGATTTATATTGTATTTTTCCTGTTGTAAGATTTATAATTGTCTATATTACCTACATTGATTCAGGTCCTAGAAAAATTTTAAGTAACTTCCTGCTATAGGACTGGGAGAGAATTTTATAAGCTATTTTACAGAATTATAAGGAGATAGCAGAACCCTAATATTTAGGTTCCTGACATTTCGTGTTGTAAAAGATTTATGTAAAATTTTTATTTGAGAAATTCTCACCTTCTTGGTTTTAGTAGTTCTTTAATGTTCATTAGAGTGCCCTTAAATTACAGAAGGGGGTTTTTTTCAGTGCATGTGCTGGGAAGCATGAAGAGTTTAATGCTGTGTGTTTCATTGCCCTTGGAAGTAGCACTTGTTTTTCCATATCTCTTCAGAATTATTTATAATATATTATCCCAGATGCAAACAGATATGCCTTTCTGCTCATTGCTACTTATTCTCTGCACACTATAGGCATAAAACAAAATTACCTTAATACAGCAGGTGTGCTTCAAGTGCTTGTGCATTTTCCCATTCCACTGTGGGTGCTAATTTCAACAGCCATTCCAGGACTGATGCTCAGTTCATCTGGGCTCTCAGCACCAGACCTTTCATTGGAGCCCCTGCTGAAAGCCCAAATCCCAGCAGGGGCTCCAGTGAGTCATCAGGTTCTGCTAACAACCAGTCATCTCATTACTATCTAAAATTGTCTCCTCCATACATCTCTGGATCTTTCACTCTTTATGTCCTTTCCAAAGGTTTTACTATTCAGCTCATTGGGCCTAAGGTCTGTTTCCAGTGGGTGCCTGTACACTAGTGCGGAGGCTGCTCTGATGCACTGTGATTATGCATGTGCCCCCCCAGAATTATGCATGGGGTGGATGTGGGCTGCCCACTGTGGTCTTGGGACTCTCTGCCCTGTTTCCTTTTGCCTCACGAGTTGCACACCTCCTGCTGCCAGTTGGGCTGGGGGGATGGTATGGCCAGCATGCGTCTCCCGGGGCAAAAGGCAGCAGGGCACATAGCCCCGAGCCCGCAATGGGAAGCCAGCATCTGTCCTCACCCCTCTTTACTCTGCTCCTAAAAGTGTCCCTGTGCTTAAAAATGGCGGTATGGGCACTTGAACTAAAGCTTGTCAAATGATCTCTAGTTCAAGCACCAGTGCTGCCATTTTTAAGCACAGGGACATTTTTAGGAGCCGAGCAGGGTGAGGGTGGAGGTAGGCTGCCTGCTGTGGGCTCTGGACTGTCCGCCCTGCTGCCTTTTGTCCTGGGAGCCACATACTGTCCAGGCTGCATCCCCTGCCCGCTTGGCAGTGGAAGGCACAATTTGCTGCCTTCAGTGCCACCGGGCAGGCAGGAGGGGCACGGCCAGCATGCAGCTCCCAGGGCAAAAGGCAGCAGGACTGACAGCCTCGAGCCCACAGCAGGCAGCCTGCATCCACCCCACACAAATCTAGGGGGGCACATGCTCCTCTGCTTTCCCCAGGGGGTGCAAACAGTGGAGGGGACCTACCCCTCCCCTTAACTCTGTGCGCCCACTGGACAAGCTGCCTGTGGCTCAGTCCTACTTCCCACCCAGGCATCCCATTCACCACCCTTGTTGGGCAGCGCCCCCAGCCTCAGCTTCAGCTTCTGCCCCAGCCCCTACTCCACTCCCTCCCTCACCATGGGGGCCTCCATCTGCCCCCCCATACCCTTTCCCTCCCCCATGCCCCTTCTCCTCCACAGACTTATGTGCAGGGCGCTGCTCTGTATACTGCTGGACTGTGCTCCTGTAAATCAGTTATCAAATTGGTATTGGCCAATATGCCTGGTGAATAATCAGCTGTTGGTATTGGTCAAGAAAATCTCTATCAGTGCACCCCGATGTGAAAATCTCCAGAGTCATCATACAGTAGCCCATAGGTCTATCCATCCCTGCATTAAAGCAGAGCACAGGTATTCTGGCCAAAGATCATGAGATTGACCATTGTCATCTTTCTCATTCCTGTGTAGGAATTCAGAACCATGAGACAAATCCGTAGGCAGCTCTAGGATATAATGAAGTGGGGTGTGTCATACTGCCCCTTACATCATGGTTGGGGATGAGGTTGAGGTGATGTTGGACCCCCCAGGCCAGCAGGGAGCACTGGGGAGCAGGGCAGGGAGCAGGTGCAGGAAGGGAGGACTGCCCCTTGTCACCACTGTCTCAGGCTGACCCAGGCATGGGGAGAGCCATAGAGTCTCTCCTCATCTCATGGGAACTGGTCAGCAGAGAAGTGGCTGCGCAGTGTGCTAGGCTCAGCCAGGGACAGCGGCAGGAGTGGATGGTGGATTCTTCCTTCCTGTGCCTGCTCCCAGCTTCTGCTCCCATCTCCAAGTGGCTCCTTTTGGCAGGGAGCAGACACTGGAAGGAGGAGCCTGTCCTCCACCCCTGCCATTGTCCCTGGCAGAGTCTGGGTCCCTGTGCAGCTGCTTCTTGCTGCCCTCAGCTGGAGCAGGGCAGAAGTAGCTCTGGAGCTCCCTCTATGCCCAGGTCAGTTAGGAATAGTGAGCAGTTCCCCACTTCCTGCTCCTGCTCCCTCCCCAGTCCCCCATTTTCCCCTGTTGGCC